AGACCGTCTCTTCCCCTTGACAGATGCCACAGCTCGGGGTGCCGGTATCTGCAGCAGCGGCTGCATTAGCTAATGCTTCGGTGGAGAGAATTAATTGTCTGAGCAGCAGCTAGGGGCAGGAGGGAGCAAGTGATTATGCACCCTCATTTTCTGCCTCTGATTACTGTGTTCTCAGCCTGCTCCCAGCTGATGCGTTTCAGAGGCATTTGAGCTCACTGTCTATCCGGCGGCTAAACCTGCAGGATGCTGCCAGATGGAATCACAGTTTGTTCAGGTAAGAAACACAGCACAGGATGACAAAAAGCCAAGCAAAAGCATGGTTAAAGTACATTGCATTTACCATCTAAAAAGATGATTAGGAGTTTGATAGATGAACAAGTGAGTGAGTGTGGGACTGAAAACATACCAAAGCCTGCTCACTTGAAAGAGAGACCCAAAAGAGGAGCTGTGTTAATAAAGACTGATGAAGAATGTGGGGTTTGTTGGTTTTTTTAAAAGAACACTTTTCAGGAGGTTTTGTGGATTAAGGTGATACATTTGAAGCATTTTCACCAGGCCTACCACATCTTCCTACTTAACAGTGTCTTGTACTTTGCAACATCTGAGGACTCCGCTTTAACAGAACTGGGATGTTGCATCCCTGGGAAAACACACTGGGAAAGATCTGGCTGCTGTTCCTTGCACATGGATATTCACGAGTGGTAGTAAATGGATCAGACTAGACATTATCAGGACACCTTGGTATGTGAGACATGTTCATGTCATAAGGGCTGAAGCACCATGAGGTTGGAGTTAGGGGCAGCTCTGCTGACTCAGATGGAGGCAGAGTTGTCTCCTGCATTCTGTGCCCAGATCTGCCACCACAAATGCATTCTGGCTTGGGCCAGGTGAGAGATTAAATGTAGCTCTTTTGGGAGAGCAATCTGGAAACTCTACGTTCAAGGAGAAAGAAATACAAATCAGAGAGCACATCCACAATAAGCATCTGATAAAATTCTTATTTAAGTGACTGGAAAAGTCCTCCATTGTTTGAGATGGGTTTGGATATTTAAAAGAACGAGAGGCACCATGGACAAGTAGTGTTTGTCCAGCACTAATCACTACAGACACTTAAAGAGACTGAAATTCCTTTAAAAGATTGCTTTGTGTCCAAGTGACAGTTATACTTGAGCTAATTTCTTGTGCTGTCTGGTTCAATCTATATGCCTGCACTTTAAGGGCTCATTTAGCTCGAATGATCAGTGATCAGAAATAAAAATATCAAAAGAAATGTGTTGCATATGTGTGTTTTTAACCAAAACTGGCACCACACAGTACATTAGCTGCTGCCTGCCAGGCTGTTTTCCTTGGCTTTGCCTGTGCACAGATGGGAGAGGAACTTAACGTTTCCCCTGTTATTACTTAGCAAGTTTTTTGTGCTTTTATATTGATTAAGCTTAATGCTATTTCCAAAAACAAACAAATTCTACCTACACTAAACCAAAAAAAGCCCTCCTACCAACCAAAACCCAAAACTTTTCCAGTTGGTATCTACGACTTTCGCACAGAACACCTCCAGCATCCTGACAATCTACAGGAGTCAAAGAATTTGTGGGATTAGCACAGCATAAAGCTGTAGCTGTTAAAATCATAGATAACACACATACATACACAGATGCCATTGTGTATATACGCACATGTACACATATGTAGTCCTTAGAAGTTATCTGGGAGGGTATTTCACATTTATTTATTAGTTTACTACCCATCTGCAACTCTGAGGAAAGGACTTCTGATTTCAGAAAGCGGTACGAAGCAATGGGAGTCAAATGAGCTCCAGGAGCAATCTGGGCTTTTTTGTGTTTCCTTTCCCTGCGAATGCTCTCTTCACTGAGCTGCTGCACACAGCAAACAACCGGGAAGTTTCATCTCAGAGATAGTTGCCATTGACAGGGTGGGTGAAGTGATTCCTAGCAACGTACCTAACACCTCTGCTTCCCAGGGGACCAGATTCCTCCTTGCATACGTTACTGTGTCAGCCATCACGGGGCAGGGCAAATGGTGGTGGTGGTGGTGGTACCGGAGCAAAAGGAAACCTGGGTGCGTTACTGCAGGTGGAAGCTGCAAAGTACTGGCCTGGATAAGCAGCAAAGCCCACACGCTGGAGCATGTCACAGCATTTAGCAGAAGGGACATGCAAGTATTGCAGGGGACAGCTTTGAATACTTCCTTACGGTCACGACAAAAAGAGAAAGAAGCTGTTAAAACAGGGAAGGAATTGCCCCTTTTCTGTAACATCTCTGCTTGCAGGCTCTGCTCACGGAGACTTTGATGGATGCAGCACGGAGAAGTCACGTGGAGCCGAGCGCGTTTTACTCCAATCCTCCCCACAAGCCTCTGCTACCTACAATGAATCTTGGGCTTAGGAACAGAGTCCTCCGTCTGGAGTCACAGTCCCAGACAGCTGAATGCTTTGGGACGCTGACACGTGCCTCGGCTTGGGAGACTGCCAGCTCTTTGATGCAGCGGGCTCACAGAGGCTGACTGCAGAGCACGTGGAGGAGGGAAGGGTGGAGGAGCCCTTCATTTGGCTGCCAGCTTCCAAAGCGCTCACTCGCTCATGAGGTTATGTGACAGCTGTGATTGAAGCAAGCGTGGGAGGATGCAACTGCAGGAAAGGGAAGCTCTCAGGCTGGGCTGGGTTTTACAAAATGAAAGCCAGAGCGGCATTTGCTGCAATGAGAACTCCGCTGTGAGTCAGGCACCTCTATTAAGCAAGGCCTTCCACGAGGAGAGCCACAGGAACGGCCTAGTTTAATGCATGCAGAAGACAACTATTGAGCCGTTCAGCAGATGCCACAGCACTACATTAAGAAAGATGCCTGCATTCAAAGGAACCCATTGATCAGTGCCAACACCCAGACAGGCCCAGAAATACCAGAAGGAGCTGGAAACGCGGCTGTGAAAGCTAGCACTTGCAAAAGACTCTCCTCCCAGCCCAGGCAGGAGAGGAGGAAACAGAAGAGAAGCTGTTGACTGACCCCACGCCTGAAGCAGGCTCCGTTCCTTAGCAAAACTCAATGAGGGCTTAGGGCACCAATCCCTCTAATGCCTCAGATAAACAAGAAAGGGCTCCTGGCTGCAGAAACGCTGTTGAAAACAAGCACAAGGACAAGAGGCTCCAGGCCTGCTCTTCCAACATATCCCTCTCCTCTGCAAAGGCCACAGATACTCTGGGAATGCTGAGCCTAATTTCTGTCCTCATACTTTGCTTCAGTGGTCCAACAGATATTTCAGCCTGCCTTCCTGAGCAGGCCTTTCACTCACTCACGCACACTCGTCGGCCCCGGGAAGCTGTTAAAACAGCCACTAGTGCATGGACTTAGTTGCGGCCTCCACCACTTGTGAGTGGTACCTGTCAGGAAAGCACCAGTTGATTCCTAGGTCTCTCCACATGTCCAGCCCTGACCCCACAGCTAACATAACAGTAGCAAAAGAGGGCACGGAGCTGTGCAGCCAAGGCCAGCCCTAGGCTGCTGTGGCCCTGAGGTGGCCATTGGCATGTCCGAGATAGGGTCAGAAAGGCATACCTAGTTTGGGGATCAAAAAGTAGTGCTTTTTCCAAGCCAGAGAGAAAAAGAGGTCTCCTTGTTTCCAAAACCACGCCAGTACCTGTTAAGTACTAGGCTCAGCACACTAAACCTCACCCGTGTCGGGTGCCAGCTCATAAAAAGCAGAACGCGCTGGCACAAGCCTGGGGCACACTTCAGCAGTGTACAGTCAGCAGCAGGAGGGCAATACTTCAACTCCGTGACCTTCACTCACGCTGTGATGAAGACATATGGCACGAGAGCATCTCATCTAACTTTGGACACCTATGGTGGAGGCTTCTCCACCCCCAGTGACTAACTAGGATGTCTTTACAAATGAGAAAAAAACAGGTTTACGTCATTTTAGGGTAGACATATAAAGTATATCCACAGCTGTGCTGGTAGGACCTATTTCTCTGCCATTACTATAAACAGAGTCTCAAAGTCTAAAATCAGGCGAGATAAATCCTATCGTTACTGACTCTACATGGGACTGGAAACCCACTGAATGAGTTGGGAAAATCATCACAGAGACCTCCACATTATGGTCACAGCTGGCCTGGATTCCTTTTGAACTGCTGGCTGCTTGAGGGTGCTTTCCTCTCCCAGTAACTTCTTGTGTTGCTGGGCTTTTAGATTCATCCTTTAGCAACCCAAAGCTGAGAAACCTCTTTGGGATGATGTGCAAAGTTTATTATATGGGAGGATGAAAAGCAGATGAAATGCTAACAGCGCAGCCCAGCACTTTCCTGAAACGTTACAAACCTTGCCCTTGCCTTCTGGTCTTGCAGCCCAACACTCCCATCCAGGAAGCCCCAAATCTGCAGTTGCAAAGTCCCCCTCCCCATGCCCCATGACGGAGGGAGCGGGCAGATTCCATACCTTCAATGGGTTTGGGTACAAAATGTGATGAGGGTTTGGTTTTTTTCACTCGGTTTCCCTTCATAATTTGACCTTCTTTATTGAGTCCCAGGAACCACGCTCGGCCGGATTCTTGCTGCCGGTACAGCGTGGAAGAATAAATAACGTAGTAGTTTTCAAAGACAGATTCCTTAAATTTGCACTCTGGTGTGAAAACATCCTGCAGTAAGAGAGAGAGAGAAGAAAAAGCAATGGAAGGAATTAATCACTGATCTCCTAAATTAGGCATCACTGAGCGATACATGATGGTCACGCACTGCAGTTAGTTTAACAACAGACATCAGCAATACCGGCTCCCAGCAATAACACACATCTAGAAAACTCCCTACTGAAAGGGAATGCCCTTTTTCCCCAGCAGAGCTGTGGTTTGCAAAACAGCCTACAGTGAATGGGCTTGAAAAATACGCAGGAAAAGTCAGGAATTTGTCAGGATTTAGGCTGGAACACTAAGCAAAAAGAAAAAAAGAGAGCTGAGAAGCAAAGAGACGGCCTTGCTGCTCATCTGCTGCTCGCAATGCCTTCCCCTGGCTTTGCTCTTAACTTCCCTGTGATGGGCAAGAAATGTGCAATGGTCATTGTCTAAAACATTGAGGTTTCTTCAAATTCTTATGGGCAAAAGGCAGTTCATCAGGGGCATTTAAGTGGATTCAGAGAAACAGGAGTACAAAAGCAAGTAAACAATTTATTTATTTTCAAAAGCGACAGGAAGAAATGCTGGCACAAAGCCTGGAAATCTTTCAATAAAGAGAAAGAAGTAATTTTAAAGATTTCTGCCACAAGTATTTCTGCAGATACTGAGACCTGGTCCCACACCTGCCCAGGAACAGAGGACACACGGGCCTGTCTGAGACATCCCCTGTGCTGGCTGTGGGGGTGGCTGTGCCTTTGCGCTTGGACTGGCTTTGCATAAAGTCTCGAGGAGGAAAATACACCCAACTATGGACCAAAACTCGTCACGTCCCAGTTACTTTTCAAAACTTTTAACACAGGGAAGTATTAAACCTCTTTTAAGAGCTGGCTGGCCAAGGGACTCTGTGGCAGTGGGCTCCCAAACCTTCACTGAAGCAGATGTGGTTGTTGGTGGGTTTTTTTCCCCCAGACTTTCATTTTGAGCAGAAAATTCACCCTGGCCAAACTGGGTTCCTTAAAACCATGACATTCTTGCAAAAAGAGCTCAAGCCACAATGAATATGCATTTTCTGAAGAAAAACTTTTAACAAAAAAAAATCCCCTTTTCTAGGACCCAGACAAGGTATCTCAGAGCCCTGTGCGTGAAGGCAGGTGCTGCTACAGGAGAGTGATGCAAGTCTTTGGGAGCTTCTCCAGCCTTGCCAATGGAAAATCCATGACCAACATCTGAGCAAAGCATCTGGAGTAATGCCACATTTACTGGAGACCTCATTTAAGAGTGAACATTTTGAACATTCAGCAACACTGAGGTATGTATTCCCAAGTGCTTCGGGGGTTATATAAAGTGCTGCTGGTCTGACAATAAATCCAGCCTGCAACAGACCTACGGAGACAGGCAGCCTTGAAGCCACAGAAGATAAAGTGCAGCAGAAAGCACGGGACTGTGCTGCACACGTAAAGTTTGCATCAATCATTAGACCCACACAGATAAAACCAGCGTCAGCCCAACGGGTCATTTTGCCCTATCTGAAGGAGTCTTCCCTGCTGGAGAAATAAGTATTTTAGAAAGGAGTGAAACAATCTAGATGATTTTGGCACTATAAAATAGTGTTTGAAGTAGCTTCCCAAAAGATCAAGCGTTTAAGCGCTCCCTAAATCTGCCCTTTATCTCCAGGCTTTGTCTTGGCTTGGAAGATGCAGCTCACGGGGGAGCTGGGCAGTCTGCAGCAGCTGCTGGTGACCAGCTGGCTTGGGGGCTCTCCTTGGCATCAGGCCCGACCGGCAGCAAACCCCGCGATGGAGAGCTTCTCTAAAACCAAACTGGACAACTCAATCCCCTTTTTCATGCCCCGGTCACCCCATGAGTAAAAGTTTAGTGAGAAAACTCCCCTTAGGAAGACTGAAAAGTTGGTAGGCTGTGAGGGGTAGCTACCAACTTGACCAAAACATGGAATTTACTGTGCATTTGAATTTACTGGATTTTCAACATCTGTTTTAATTTCAGCATGGAACAAAGACTTATTTTCAAAGAAGCAGAAATATAAAAGCTAATGCATTTTGAAAATGTTGTTTCAGAAAGGAAAAAAATTCCAGATTAAAAAAAAAAAACATATTTAAAGTTTTCAGATACGTATCTATTTTTAAATTACCACAGTATATTTGATGACATGCAGCAGCTCATAATAGCAGATGCCATAACGTATATCCACTTGTACCAATAAAGCAGCAAAAATATGTTATTTTAAAGCAGATGCATTTAGAGACATCAACTTCATGAAGATTTAAGAAAAATAAATTTCCTTCAAATGTTTAAGCTCCCCCACAAGCAAACAAACCTGTCCCATTGTTTTTGTGAGTTGGCTGGTTGATTTCTCACCCCCCACAATTCAGCTGAAATAGCACTTCAGGACATTAACCATGGCAACACCACCAAGAAACATCCCAGCTCTGTCCACTTGGCAATTTAGAAAAAACACAGATTTGACAGCTAAGTTCTAGATAAATAATGCCATTTTTATTCTTTATTATTAACCTTCTTATGTATATCACATCATCAGCAACAGCCAGTGTCCCACTGTGCCGCGTAAGGACACGCACCAAGATGCAATCCATCCTACTACCAAACTGACACGCCGCAGGGTCTTCACAGGTCTGAGCACCAGAAGTCTTTGGTGTGGGCACTACCACGTGTAGACACAACACAAAGGGCAAGCAGATGGAGAAGGAGAAAGCAGTTCACCACAAAGGAGATGGGACACACAAGCAGGACACAGACCACCCCCAAGCACTGCCTGGGGATATTTCGGGTGTCCTCTAAATCTATTTAACATGCAAACCCTTATGTGTCATTTCATTGGTATCTTCTTGGTGGCCAATGTCAACCCTTCAGCTACATCGTGTCACTTAGTTTCTGCACATCCCTCTTGCTGACGGCTTTGGGGCTACCAATAACAAAAGGCTCTTGGAATATTAACAGCAGAACCTCTCTATATGCTTACTGTCAAAATTAATTGTGGCAATTATGTCAAAGCAAGTGGGAAGTGCTGTTTCAGTTGTCTGGGGCTGAGAAGAGCTGGAAAGAGGAAAGTACAGGTGAGCTTAACAGGCTTCACATATATAATAAAGCAGCTCTTAGCAGCCACTGGTGCACAGACTGAAATCTGAGATAACTGAAGGTATTTTTGGAAAATCACTGAGCTATTGGCCAGACCTCTGGGGCATGCGAGTTGTTTTTTGTTTGTTTTGTTGGGTTTTTTTTTAGGATGAATTCAGCGGTCATGAAACGTGCTAGATGGGCAGATCTGGAGTCCAATACTTTCTCTTCATCCCACAGACACAGAGTGGGTAAAAACAGCAAAGGGATCCTCAGGCTGTGTCCACCACATGCTTCTGACAGGGCATAAGGACATCCTCCTCGAGAGGTAATGGTATGGTAAGCCCTGGGGTCAAGAGCACCCACTTCACTCTCTCACTTAGTGCACAGACCTTTTGAAACAGGCTTATAATGAACCCCACTCAATTATTTTCCAGCTCTGCTTGACAGGGATAGCATGACCAGCTACAAGACAGTGAGAGGACAGATGGCTTCATCTTTTAATCACCGATCTTTTTTCAGTCTTTAAACAAAGAAAGAAATCGTGACTCTGTTTTCTGTACAAAATTCATAGAGCTCTCAGTCCCCTATCATCACCTTCATGAACTCAGTTCACTCAGAAAACCCACCAGCTGTCCTCATTAAAAAGCATGCTTGCGATTTGGAGAAAAGAAAAAGGAAATTTGGCTGATGTTATGTTAATGTGAAATATGTATCTTTGATTAAATTATTTTTGCAAAGTAAGTAAATATTTATTTTTTTTTTTTTACTATTTGGAGATTTAGAGCCTGAGGTATTTTGTTAAATGTCTATAGATATTACTGAAAGCAGTTTCAAAAAAACAGATCTTCTTTTAATTGTTAAATTAAAAACCTGCATGAAATACTTGTAAAAGAAATGTTAGTAATTTACATGCAAATTGATTAGCATCTGCCTGCAACTTGTTTTCTGTATCTCAATCCAACCCCTTGAACAAAAGGCAATTCCAGTAAGAAGAGTAATTAGATTTGCTTTGAAAAACAAACATAGGTCTGGCTTATACTAACTCCAGTTTTACTGGAAATTACACAGTCTAGAAAAAAATACAATGGTATCTGTAACACAGAAAATTAGGGAGACCTTATTCAATGACAGTTGCAATCAAAGAAGGGAGCTAAACGGATGCAACTGCCCTTTGGGAGGGATTCAGTGTCTCAGACCTGCTCAGGGAGGGTGTAAGGTACCATGGATTGCCCCAAAAGCTATTTCTGGTTTAGAAAAACAAGATGTTTCATTTATCCTTGATCCCAGTAGTGTCTCCTGCCATCTGTAGATGGAAATGTGGATGGGACTTACAGGCACAAGCCAATCTCTGTATCACTTGGGCCAATCTGGTCCTTCAGAGAGCTGTTGGGAATGTCTGGCCCCATCTGCACCCCTTCCTAGCACAGGCTGGGGGTGATTTGTGAGAGGACAGATTTTTTTTCTAATCTACCTCAGCTTTCACCTGCCCTGGTCAGGTAAATCTAACCCAGCCTCTTGGTCTTGAACATAGTAAGTTTGATCAGACCCTTCTTTGCACTTCTGTAAAGCTGGAGAAGCTCCGCAGATACCAGTGCAGAAGCATCACTGTCAAACCTGCGGACATGATGCTGCAGCGTATTCAGGGAATGCACTGCCACCCTCCGACATCTCGGCTCCTTCAAAAAACGCCAATCCAATGGTGTCACAGCCCCGGTGCTGCTCTGAGCAAGAGAGAGCAGTGCCAGCCCCTGCCCTGCCTGGGGGCATCACTGCCACTGGCACCCTGAGCATCCTCAGCCGGGACGTGCAAAGAAAGGGTGTCCCTGTAAGCAACAGCATGGTGCTCCTGGGTACTGATCATGAGAGCGACCAGTTTGCTCCCTTGTTTGTTTAGACCAAGCTCTGACTGGCACGGAAGCCCCTGATGTCCCCACACCATGGCAGAAATGGTGACACGTTTCCATGCTCAGGGACAGAAAGGAAGCCGGCAGAGGACCGTCACTAGCTGGTATGTTCAAACCCAGCTGCTCACACAGCTTCCCCCTGGACTGGGCCACTTGTTTGTATTGCTTGCCATTGCCCTACAAACACTCTCAAAACTGCCAGATAAATAAAGATTTTTTTTTTTTTTTTTTAAACTCAAGCCCTCCTTTTATTATAACTCAAAGGAGAATAGCAAATACACCCATCCATACACAAACCTAATGACTTAATAAATTTAGTCACTGAAACTAGCAGCAATAAAAGAAAAAGCCCATTCAGCAAGTAGCTGGTGCCACGGTTTAGGAAAGGGATGTTAATTATGAGTGTTGAAATATCTAACACACTCCCAGAGCAACAGTTTTCCTTTGTTTACAGCACTTACGGGTTTCTCTTTTATGTTCTGCACAATTACTGAGCCAGATCTTGAGATGGGATAAAAGCACTAAACTGCACCAAAGTCTATGGCATGACAAGGCTTCCCTCCCAGAGAATCTGGCTCAGGATACTTACTGATGTTAGTGTTAATACTTAGAGCTCATCAAGTAATTCAAAACATACTAAGTAGGAATCATAAATATCATCAGAGCTATCAGCAGTGGCATTTCATTGTGGTTGCGGAGGCAGACCACGGAATGACTGGGTCATGTTCACCGCGTCTATATAAGCACCGCTCCACACTAGGGGAAAAGCTGGCATTGCAGAAGAGCATCTGCCCTATGGTGCTCTTTTCCCAGTAAAGCCCATTCCGCATTCCCCACCGATGTCAGCCAGAGCAGGCTTTAATCAACACCCCTCTGATGCCAACAGCACTGAGAAGTTCAGCATTGGTATCCCTGCGCATAGACCTGTGTGGGTAAATGAAGACACTGGATTCTCAAAGACGTTTGGGCTCCCGCATGAAATGCAAATGCCCAACTGCCATTTAAACCTGTGGAAGTTCGGAGACTAAACATGTCTTTGAATATCTAAGAATTTGTGACCACAAATTTTCAGCTCTCTGCACAGCAGGTGGAAGAACTCATATTTGGGACAACAAAACCTCATACCATAGCACTTGACCCTGGCATACCGTTATTCCCAGGTCTTGAACCATGTAGGTCCTGTTCACAGGATCAGCCCTATGCAGACCACAGCAGCACTCCCGCAGGCAACGATGCCATGCACACAGCCTGATCGAGTTCAGTGTCCTCCTGCCTCAGTGCAGCTTCTCCCATCACCTAGAGTTGCATCTGTCTGCAAATGCTTTAAAATAGTTATAGCTGAGCTCTCTCTTGGCATGTGATCAAGAACCGCAAATGTACATCCAAACTTTACATCTTATCGCATCTTTGTCCAGATGGCAGGTGATATTCTACTGTTCACACTCCACTTTTCCTCCCCCTTAGAGCTCCATAAGAAATTGGTGACAAGTCTCCTCGGTGGCCTTTTAGAAGCAGGAGAGAGCAGACAGATTTTAAAATAACAAGCTGCTACATGGGAGTGTACAGCCCTGCTGCTGAGCAGAGATTCACTTGATGAGACAATATGGTATCTGCAAGTATTCTAACTCTGTCTGGATCATCTGTGGGTTGGAGGGAGCACATTTTCAAATAAACCACCATCCATGCAGGTCTGATCCCCCGCTCTGGGAGCTGAGAAGCAAGCAATCTAACTTACCACCTCTGAAAAACATAACTAGAGGGCTCTCTGCCCTCACTTTTGTGGGAACTCCCTGTGCTTAAGGTACATAGCTGTTCAGTTGGCTTCACTTTAAAACGCCCCAGCAAGAGATGGAGTGCAGGTCTGCTAGGTCTTGCGAGCTGACCCAATATTCCTAGACAAGCAAAAAAATCAAGTGCTGGACAAGCCTCTGTAATTAAGCTGCAGATCTTTATATGTGGACACAAGCTGTCCTAAAGCACCTTTTACGTGTTCAAGGACTGATTAATTTATCCATGTCACCACAGAGGAAGTTTGAGAATGCTGGAGACAAAGGTGTGACTGCAGCATGGACGTGCCCAAGGTAACCCTGCAGCAGCAAGGACATCTGCCCAGGCACACAGCAGAGGAGTGACCAAAACCCATGGCAGGTTCTGGAAGACGTGCTGAGCTCCATTCTGCCCTGGTTAACGGGCTACCTAGATCAAAATGAGCTCGTATAGATCCACGCGAGCTACGGTCTCACATCTGGCTACAAAGCAGATGAACCCAATGAGTTTTGGGCATCCAAATTCAGACCTGTCCATCCCACCATACCTCAGTATTGTGTAAAACACAATACTTTCAGCTCTTGGCCTGTCCACTGTGCAGGCATATTTTTACCAAATACCTCATAAAGATAAAAATGCCCAAATTCACTGTGTTGGCCTTTGGCAAGCTGCTCACACAATCCTGATAGGAACACAGCTTTCAGCTTAATGAGTGCTGACAAGAACATAACTCAGGATGACTTTTCAAGCCAGGCTGCTCAATTCCCTATCTCCCTGAAGAGCCTGGGCAGGCTGGGTGAGACAACAGGCTCCATGAGTAAGATTTGGGTACCAACAACTGCGCAGCTCTGTGTACAGTGCTAGCATCCAGGGAAGCCTGCGCATTGAGGAACTCACCGATGGCACACACAGAGCAAGTGACATATTTTGTGTTTTGCTTCACTTTTTCTTAACGATGGACCCCAAATTCAAATTCATGGTTAGATGGAATAAATTTTCATCCCTTCTTTTTAAAATATAAGGTATATTTGGATTTTAATTGATTGGTTTTTTTCATTTTGGATCTTATTTCAAGCTGGAATTTTAAGTCTCTTAAGATTTGGAGCTATTATGAACTGGAGCAGTGATCGCAGCATAGCTCACTCACATGGCACTTGGCCCACCCAGTTCGGCATCACTCTTCTAGGAAAGCAACTGCTTCCTACGGAGCGGGGTTTTCTGACAGCACTGTCTCTGATATTGCATTCCTGGCAGCCTGGGGATCTGGTGAAACCCCAGGATAATTTCTAACCCTGGGAATCCCAACTCATCCATTGTCTTCTCTACATTCTCTTTTTCTCACAAAGTATGTGAAATCGGTAACAATGTTATCAACTCTGCTTACTCCAACACAGTACCCAGAAATACATCTTTGCATTCAGAGATAATGATCATGAGATAAGATGAAGATATGTTAGTTCCATACAAGAAAAACAGATTTCCTAAATTAGCATTGTACTGTCTCATCTGCTAAAGCCTGAAATAACTATGAAGAAAAATAATAATGTAAGAACCCTAGAAACACAACCAGATGGGATGCTTTGAACCTGTCATCTCTATGGAGCCAGAGAAAGTTTCTTGGCATTGATTTGAGCCTGAGCACGGGGCACAATAAATTGATTTGTAGCATTTGGTCACTTTTACAATATCGGTGTTTTTATTTTGGTTGATAATAATGACAACAATGTATAAACTAAAATAATGATTATGCATTTATAAACATGACACTATTTTCTTCTTATAGTCAAACCTCTCAGTGGAAAATCAGCAGCCAGTATTAGCTTTATCATGCTACTATTTATATCCAAATTATCCTCAAAGGCTCAAACTACAGTGTGAATAAAAACACCCTCACCATGACAGGAGTAGAGGGAAGACCTCTTATTTTCTACTTTTTTGTGCTGACATCCTGAGAACTGAAAGACCAACTGGCTTGCTGGGTGTTCTGTAAAACAAGAGGTGCTGGAGCTAGTAAAGAAACTTAGTTCCCCCAGGTTCCAGTTCAGTTTCTTAGGCAAAAGCCCTCTCTTTCTGATATAAATGAAGTAATGTCATTATTACAATGTCAGGGTGAGGGGGACCGTGAGCGAGTCCCAGTCCTTGTACGGCAGAGTCTCCAGTGAACGGTGTTTTAGCACACAGACAAAACCGTGCTTGTTCTTACCCAACGGTACGGAGCTGGGCACGGAGTGCAGGTCTGAAGAAATAAAATGGCCTTAGCCCAATTTTCTGTGTAATTCATTTTTTGAAGTAACACGTCACGTGGGCAGAAGATAAGAGGAGTTGCCAAGGAGCTCACCAGGCCTATTACAGCCATAAGCTGCTGATGTACTGAGATAGCCTCTTTGCTTTGACTCGAATTCAAATCGCAAGACTCGGTGGAAACACATCGTCTCCGACACTCTCCCTATCTTTTCTAATGCTGGAAAGATCTCTCCTGCATTAAACCAATTTCAGAGCTGTCATGCTGGAAATTCAATTTCTTTGCTGCTAAACCTTCCATCCTGAAAATGAGTGGTGCTGGATTATTAGTATTTTGACAGCTTACTGACAGGTTGGCTACAACTAGCCAATTAACAGCAAGCCCTGTGGTCTAAAGCATCCACTGAGGCTGGGGTGAGCTGGTGTTGGACAGGCAGGTTCTTACAGCCAAGATGAAATGTTATCAAGTGTGACAATTTATGTGGCTTTTCCCTCCCCCTTGTACCAGCTGCTGCATGGCATATTCTTGGGCAGTTCTTGGCAGCTCTGCTGCCCACCAGGAGAGGCAAAGGGAACCCACCGAGATCTGTGCCTCAAAGCCTGGGTCCCAGCACCGTTTCTGCTGACGAAGCCAGCAAAAAAGGTGAATGGTGCTTCCCTAAAATCTGCCAGGGCGACCCATCTCTGCTGGGGGCTGCTTTACCGCAGCCAAGCAAACTATGTGCCCAGCACTTCAAATCCCTCCGTTCATCATCC